TCAAACTGCATCAAACTATCAAACTCAAACTGTAGAGGCTTTAGAGGCTTTAGATATAAATCAAGCTGTTAACCCTTCAACACTCAGCCCCCTTTGGCTCGTTAGACCTCTCTCTGTGTTCAAACGATTTATTACATTGTTGGACTGCATGAATGCTTTGAAGCTTTCGGTTGTTTACTGTGTGTGTAATCTGATCATAATTATTTTCTCATTTAATCTTTTAGGGGCCAAGTTGACATATTGTTTGTTTTAAATCAACACATTCAGCTTTTGTACTGTAGAAGACAAAAAAAAGTGTTGGTTTTTTCGGTACTTTTGCTATAAAAAAAATATTTTAACTTTTTGCCAATACATTTTCTGCTGATCCACTAATTGATCAATTGACTAATACTTTTGGCTCTTATATGCTCAAATTCATGTGACCTGTGCAGGAAACAACAGTGGGTACAAAAAGGTTAAAGTAGCAGAATAACAAAACTTTTGGCTGTTTCAACAAGACATAAAAACCCTGAACATACAAGTGTGTGTTACTGTACCATCACTTATCTGTGTAATGAATGCAACACATTAATCATTGGATATGCAGAAGGGGGGGGGGGGTATCTGGAGAGTTTGAAACTCTCCAGGTCTGTGAGGCAGTAACAGTAGATGTCAAGGAAAAACTCACTGTATATAACTCTCCTGTGGAGCATTTTATCTCTCTCGTTTCATCTGGAGGAGGGACGCAGGTTTAGCTCACGGATCCGGCAGAAGGCTTGGAGGAACAACTTTGGGGGAGCAGTTTAAGGGTCTTAGAAGGCTTCTTAATAAAGCCCCCCTGGTCCCTCCACCTGCCTGCCACAGATTCCCTGGTGCGATGTTATTTGGCAGGGCAGATACGGAGGAGGAAAAGGGCGAGGGGGGGTAGAGCAGGGTACTGTAGCACAGCATGAACACGAGCGGCATGCCAGGCCTCTCACATCACCGTGCTGGAGTAGAGCTTTAAACCCAGAAACCCCTGGAGATCGCTCAAACCCAACAAATGAAATGAAAGCACCTCGTAAAAGCAGCCGATTCCTGAGGTTGGAGCGAATGCTGCATCTCAACCGCCGGTAACCTCTCCGAGTTCCCTTTGTTGCATAAGGGTAAATCTGACTCGCACATGGCCTAATCCCTCACAGGAGGCTGAGCACAGACAATCCCTGACTCACCTTGCAATATTCCTCTTGAGAGGCGTCTGCGAGCGAAAAATACAATATCAGCATAATCTCTTCCAAAGACTCACTTTTACTCGTTTTACCTCTCGGGTTCTGGATCTTATTTGCTTTTATTGTGAAGCACTTTGTAACTTTGTTTTGTAATGAAGTTATTATTATTATTATTATTAATATCCTCTCACATCCACGAATGTACAGTTAATGACAATATGCTGAGCTCAGTGTATAGATCACAGTGTGATATGGTTTTCACTATTGATTCCAGTTTTGGGAAATTTTACTAGAAGCGTAAGATCCAAATGCATCCATGATTTATGTTATTTTATACATTTTAACTCAACACAAAACAAACTCGGGGGATATTTATATTGTATTATTATATATTATTTAAAGGATAACTTCACTGTTTTTCAAGAGGACATTTTGGAATAAAGACAAATCGCTCCTCTTGAAGCCTCATTTAGCTTCACATAAACTCTTAAATATAATGTTTTTGGCACAATACAAGGACTTTGGATTTGTTCCACTCACATAAGAATCACATAAGAGCTGCTCATTCGGGCACATGGCCTTTTGTTTTAAGACGGACTTGACAAACTGTGAGCCGGCCCTTTAAGACTGTGTTATTGGTTTATGTAAACATCCTCCTGCAGTGTAAGAAAGGAGGAGGGACATGTTGAGGTTAGCAAATTCATTTCCAACATACTTCAAGCTCAGTTAACACCAAGATGTTAATGTTTTCCCAGTACAAAGCTCGTATTTCCCAATGTGACCTGAACATAACACAAGAGTACAAACGGTCGTATGGGTGTTTGCTCCCTAGTTTAATTAAGTAATGTACAATAAAACTGGAGATTTCTTCCTATAGCTGTGTGTTGAGTGGTACATAATGTTATTGAGCTGATGAACACAAAGTTTACAGAAACATTATTTTGAAGAAAAATTACATTATTTGACAAAAACTAGGGGAAATATCTGAAATGATCATTAAAGTTAACGTAGAGCTGAAACAATTAATCGATTGACGAAAAAATAATCAACTATTTCAATAATAAATTAATAATTTGTCATATTTCAAGCAAAAAATGTAAAAGAATGTCAAATATTCTCTGATTCCAGCCTCTCCAACGAGAGAATTTGCTGCTTTTCTTTGTCACATATCGTTGTAAAGTTAATATTTACTTTTTTGGGGAATTTTGGTCAAACAAAACAAAACATCTGAAGACGTCATATTTGTCTCGACAAGGTTGTGTTCGGCGTTTGACAACATTTGGGCGTTTTCATATACTAATAGATTAATTGGTTAATCATACAAATAATCTGCAGATTAATCACTGATGAAAACAATCGTTAGTTGCATAATGGAAGTTCCCGTACACCAACAACAAAGAAAGAGGATACGTTCTCTATTTTCTAATTCTCTCATTCGACCCACGAGCTCCTGAAACAGGCCTGAAGGGAACACGGCTCCAGATGTAACGTCTCTTACCTGGATGGGCTCTTGGGTCAGTCTCATCGGTCCGACACATTCTTCTGTCGCTGAAACCTGAAACAGAGGAGACGCGTGAATCACTGTCACAAACCAAACACACAAAAGCAAAAATAAAGCTAAGAACACTTCTTACCATTTCACCATTCATTTCCAGAAGCATGTTGGCATATTGGTGTGTTCACCTCCTTTACTCCTCCCTCTTACCTCTCTCACTTCTAAGAGTCCATGCAGCAATAAGAAGTACACCAGCCGCTTAAAAACAAACCAAACATCTACTTTCTTTACTACAGATTCTTCTCTCCTGAGCTGCAGACGTGGATATTCACATGAAGTCTCAGCCGCCCAGAGGGAAGCCGTCCACTGCAAACCTCTTTAGAAGGCATTAGCAGGCAGGTTTACTTGGATAATCCCACTGCAGGACCATCACACCCTGAGCTGTGTGTGTATATATATATACACATGTGTGTTTTCACAGCTGGCCTCATGTGTCACTGAGCCGTGAACGAGCGACTCGGTTCCCATGTGCGTGCACACACATGCTTACGCCACACTTTGGACACGGTGAATCAGCGGTTGTTATTTACCACGCTGCATCACAGCGGACAACACCGATTAACCGCCTCTGACTCATTTCTCCTCGTTGGAAAGATCTTTGTTAGAATGTGTGGTTTTGTGGCGCAAACATGTTGGTAAACACACGCTCATAATCCACAGGGGAATGCTCCAGATTAAGGAGGACAAATATCCATGAGGTGTCCACAACAAGAGAGAGGAGAGATAAAGAAAGAGGGGGAGGTTAATTCTAGCAGGAGGCCCGAGCTCCATAATAAGGTAGAAACCAGTCGGTGACTCAACCGGCTGACATACTTCTAGTGTCGACCAGCCGCCAACCAACCCAACCTCATCCAGAGCGCTTTGGTGCTACACTTTAAGAAAACACTTTTTGGGTACCGTTGCATCAATAAAACATTATATTAGAAAGAACAAGACACAGCATCAGTGTTGGGAACATGATGCAAACCACAAACCGCACTGCCCTCACTATGACATACTGGTGGCATGCAACCTAATACGACCCAAATGTTTGGCAGTGATGCTGATTTGGTAACTTCAAATGTAAGGCCTTTTGTTTATGTAGCATTCATGTTATTTTGTGTGTAGTGAGGCATAAAAACACCATTTTAAAAGGAATGTATTGAAGTGGAAACACAGACACGCACTTCCTTTGTCCCGTTAACACACACACACACACACACACACACACACACACACACACACAGTGTTGTTTTAAATAGTTATTTTGGAATTCCTCAAACTACAAAAACACGAGCCGATCAGCCGATTCACGAAGCCTCCGCTGTCACTACTGAAGCTGCTGTGAAACTGTTTGATAAATTATTTTGTCACAGCCAGTGTGCAAAAATACCTGGTATCAATGGAGGGGTCCCTCCCCCACCACCTAGTAGTCCAGTATCATGCAGAAGTCCCACACAGACTCAATACACAATATACAAGCTGCATGGATGTAAGCCACGGGTACTAGGCTGTATCGCTAACAATAAGGCTATCAGGGGGGTCTGAAGTGTCCAATAGAGGGGTTCTCGCCATATTTCGCACGCTGGTCACAACCCGGCGAAATGATTCCTTTTACTATTAAGAGTTTGATCAATTCAGTCCGATGACATTTGGAAAGTCTGAATATTTTATCCCCATTTCAGTTAGCAGAGAGCTAAACCGGAAAGTGTCCGGCCCAGCCAGCGGAAGTCTTTCAGAGTGCAGCAGTGAGATGGCCAATAAGAAGTGTTGCTGCACCTGACCTATAACCTTTGAGGAGCATCAATAATTGTATATTATATGGAGAGAACATCCCTGATCAGGTGAGTCACTTGTTTGTCTCCGAGTGCAAGAAGAGATTCTTGGAAGTCTGAGCTGGAATCACTCTCATGCCGTCAGGGATCACGGTGAGGTCTGAGAAATGAGGTCAATCTAGTAAGAGACGACCCGAGGGAGTCAGTAAGAGAGACAAGCAGCATCTCGTAAAGAACAGACTGAAGGGACCGAATCACTGTTGGCAACAAGAAGCACAGACTCCAAATATGTCGGGGGGGGGGGGGGGTTGCTTCATGAGAAAATGAGTAATTGTGTTTTACTTGAAGACGACTCAGCCAGATGTGAAACAGAACAGGAAGGAAGGCGGTGCAAACGGGGACAGACGGTACAGAAATCACTGCTGAGAGGAGAATTTGGAGGGAGAGCAGCCAGCGGAGTTAAGACGCGTGATGGAGGAGGCGCTGTCATCGGATACCGTCTCTTCTTCAGAGTAGGTGACACAAGATCCTCACGGGAAGACATGGAAACAGGTGAAGGGAGATTTAGGACAGACAAGAGCCTCAGAGCTGATGGAGGTGGAAACAAGATGGATGGAGGCGGAGGAGCAGGAGAAGTTTGCTGGTACGCTTCATTCATTCAAGGACTCAAGACAACCAAGAGGAAAGAAAGAGAATGAAGACAGACAGGAAGCACATGTAGACACAAAGAAAAAAGTGCAGATATACAGATGATGGAGTGGTTTAGGAAGCTGAGCATACTGCAAAGACACTCAAAGAGTTAGATGTAGATTAGCTATAAAATGAAGAGAAATAAAAACATTGATAGGGCACGTCTGATGTGCATTGACAATAATTAACTTCCCATTGTTTTCAGAACGCTAGCGTGCACCTCTAGCAGTATCTTTGCTCCTCCCTCTGAACCTCCACGGTTTGAAAACCTCCGACTTGGATTTTAAACTACTTGCTAACTTAATAAAGTGGAGCTGCCGTCCTCTTGAACTCATTTCAGCTCGTTCCATTGTTTTTGTGAAGCACTTAACGACGTCGGCTTTGAAAAGGTGCCGTATAAATAAACCCTTAATTACTTACTGGGGCCCAGGTACATCATGTCACTGCACATCCTGTACCGCACCACCATTTCACTGCAGTTTATTCTTCAGAATGCAATAAACTTAACGAAGTTAGGGCGTGTTTAATGTCTTCTTTTGAAGGTGTTTTTTTCACTGTTTACGATGATAAGTGAGTTTACATTATGGCTGCAGAACAGAGAGTTCTTTACACTCTCGGCCCAACGTCTGATCATTTTTGAGCAAGTGACAAAGAGGGGTGTATTTCTCTTGATTCTGTGTGTGTGACTCTTACTTTGAAACTCAGACTGTTTAGGAATAAATTATGCAGTATGACGTTATTGTTGCCTTCAGAGCGGGGTTCAATCCTCTGATCCTGTGCATTAGGAACCACAGTGAAATGTTATTGGATATATTCTGTGTATTGCCAGATAAATACCGAGCTTTCGTCGTATTATATTACTCATTGTTAGCAGCAGGCCGTGGAGTTTACGTGAATCACCGTCCACGAAACAAGGCCGTCTTTTCTGAGGGGAAGGCCTTCTGTGGTCTCAGTCCGCTGCCTTCATCTTCCTCATCCTTTAGGCTTATTTCCACACGATGAAGTCACGATAAGCTCACTCTGATCTACTGATATTGTGAGGTGGGTTGACTTTGTCATGTGATCAGGCTTCTTGGCTGCCACCTTTAAATTTCATGTTCACACTGCCATTAATAGCGCACTGTAGGGGATATTATTGTACAGAGTAACAGTAGTTGCTTTATACATTTAATTAATCAAAATTCTGGTACAAATGAGCTCCTATTCTAATCCAATGGCATGTAAATAAAGAAGTGTTGTTGAGACAGATACTTCCACTTACTATACAGATACTCCAATACTAATCCTGGTGAATACAGTCCCGCCTGACTCGTCTATTGATGTCATTTGATATTGGCCGTTATTCCACCCAAACTGCTTTGCATGAATCCGGTTTGGAATCCCTCAAACGAATCCTGCGGCATCTGCATTAAGTAATCAAAGTGTCATCGGCTCTGCTACTTCATTTCAAAACCACCACAAAAAAATAAATAGAAAAAGAGCACGGAAACATGACTGTGCTTGATAGAAATCCCAACTATGCTTCAGTGAGATAACATGCGTGTAAACACACACCTACAGGAACGTCTTCACATGTAAACAGTTGTCCCAGTCCAACATTTAAACTATTTCCCACTTCACAGTGTGGAAGACATTCCTGCTCTTACACCCCTGCTGTATTACAGGTCGATAAAACTGGAAGACTGACTGTCGTTAAGTCATTTTTAATAGCTGCACCTGGTTTAAAAGCTTCTGTACTGGTGAAGAAAAGTGCTCAAATAAATCTGAAATAAGAGGCAATAACACTAAAAAGGCAAGAACGTCAATACTGATGACAAATAATGAAACTTGCAACACAAAATGTCTCCACGTACAGACAGTGAGAGAAGCATGCTCCAGCAAACACAGACCTGCACACCTGAGCTCAGCAGCTCAGGTGTGCCTTGAATCAGGTCCCGCCCACCTCTGACTGGGCAGGATTTGGGATTTTTCAACACTGAGAGAGTGTTAGAAGCATTACAGCTTAACATTCCACAACCGTGTATGAGGCGGGCTATGTGGCCAAAATCTTGTACGGTAACGGTTTATATCACGATACAGTAATTGTTTCCCGTGTGCCGTGATTTATCTACGGTGGCCGACGTGAAATCAGATATAAACGGCTCATTCGACAGTAATGAAAACACAACAGTTATAATTATGAGGGGATTCTAGACTAAAGAAAACACACTTATTTATATGTATTCCATTTCTGACAATAGATCGAAAGTGACCATATTTGAAATGTGGAGGAGTGACGTAAAGACGCCGTATACGTCTCTGGTAGAGACCTGTCAATCACTGTGTAGCCCCGCCCTAAAGCATCCCCTGCTTTATGGTCTGTTTGACTCTAAATGGACCATAATGTACTAAATGAACATCATGCTGTATTGAAGAAGACTTGAAACTAGAGATTGAGACCATAAACTCATGTTTACAATGTTTACTGAGGTAATAAATCAAGAGAGAAGTAGAGTCATTTTCTCATAGACTTCTATACAACCAGAGGAGTCGCCCCCTGGTGGACACTAGAGAGAATGCAGGTTATAACCGGAGGTTGCCGCCTGTGTACGTCACAAAGGATACGGTCTTTGTCTACACTCAGCTGTAAGATACTGTGATTGTACAAACCAACATTTTCAAAAGCAGTTTTCAAAACGTATGTGCTATAATCAACATGTTTTTCCTCAGGATCTCGACATTGTTACTTTATAGTACATCTGTCCTGTTAACATCTGATTCATTTACACGGCATGTCAAACTGGTTTTTGATTAACTGATGTTTCTTCTGGTCTGTTGTTCTGCTATTTGTTGCTGACCTGCAACTTCATTTTTTTTGGGGGGGAAGGGGGTATTTTCTCACTTACATACTGTTATCCCTCCATTTCTTTTCATTTGCAGAAATAAACAAAAGCCGACAAAGGCACTTTCTACAGAGCTGGTGTCAGTTTAGAACAACTGTGTTCGTTCTGATGAGTTTGGTTCATTTCTTTTCAAAGCACAGAAGCTGTATTGTTCAATTCTCTCTCCGTATATTTGTATAAGTTAGTGACTGTGTGTGTGAGGCCCCGAGGGGATCTCTGTACAGACCGACCAGCATCAGCTCCTTCACATGTGAACGTTCACACCCCTGCAGTACTGACCGGAGGGGTAAACAAATGACTTGTGCATATAAAAAACACACACACACACACACACACACACACACACACACACACACACAC